AATTTTATGACTATTCAACTTTGTACTTAAAGTTCAAAATTCGACCCTGAATTAACATATAAAGGATTTGATCCTATAGCAAGAATTTTAAAAGAGATAAAAAGTGAATGGTGTATCATCAGTATACACTATCCTTTTACTTCTGAGAAATGAGAAGGCACCAAATTACTTTCCATCAAACCTATTCTGGAGCTGAAACTTTTCTGCTATTTTCTCTGCACATAGTAAATCCTAGTAGCAGCAATGTCTTTCATTGTCAATTCATTTTATTTTCTGTTAAACTGTATTAATTCTCCCAAAACCTGCTTTAATATCGTAAAAGCTTAGAGCTAAAGTTTAAGAATTTTTGTTCACTGAAAACTTACCGAAATGCCTCTATCGGGCTCTGAGAATTACAAAGGTAACTGCCTAGACTCTGCCTTCACTGAATTTGCAGTCTTGTGGAAGAAATAAAAGACAGTAATTATACCAAGTAGAAAATGACTGGGGGGTGGGGGAGTCAGGAGAGGAGTTGACAGGGAAATGATTGCTCCCATGAGAAAAGAAATGGTAAAAGTAACAGTAAAGAATCAGGATAATCACAATCCATACAACTCTAACATAAGGCTAATTTGTCTCTCACTGTTACTTTCTAGAAAAGGAAACTGGGTAGCTACTACCAAAGTTTAGTCAATGAGTAACAAGGGAGAAGAATTAAATTCAGTTTGCTAAAACCCTACCATGAATTTACTCAAAATTTGCTGTAGAGGTGAGAAAATGAAACCCAGCAATCCAGTAAAATCAGAAGTTAATAAAACACAGTAATCCAGTAACTTCATTAGAAGGCTACTTTTCAAAACCATCATGTTTACAAAACATCACACAGATTTATTTTAGATAGACCTCTGCAACGGAATGGAAAGGGCAACAGACCAGTTATCTGGCGTCTTATTACCAGCTCACTTGTGTGTGAGGAGGGTGGCTAATGGAGGACGCCAACCTTGCCTCGGTTTCCCCCTTACTAAAAAGGGTCTAGCCCTCCGTTCGTTCCTGACAGACCCGAAGTGAAAGCAAATGGCCTGACAAAGATCTGCAAATATTCTCGAGGTCTCAGAAAATTTTTGCATCTGCACACATAACAGGAGGGACTATAACCAGCAATTACACTCGCCCGGCCCCAAAAATAAAACTGGTGGAATAACAGCTCCCCAATCCCCAGCGATGTTAAATTCTCCTTCGTAGTAGGAAGCATTAAAACGGCCAGTGACTTAGTTACAGCTCTTCCTGACGCTGCTCCCTGGGGCTCACCTGGGAAGCCCCGCAAACTCAGGTCACCTGAAGTGAGAGGAATACACAAAATCGGGGCAGGGGAGGGAGTCGGACAAGTTCTCCAAGTTGGAACTGCAGAATACGTCTCAGTTTCGGAAAGGACTCTGGGGCTGGGTCTCAGGGGGCGGAGGTCCCGGGCGGTGCCACCGGCACCTGCCTCCCTCCAGCCAGTCTCGCCTTCGGGGACCCACCTGGCCTCGGCTGACTTGGGCGTGGACTCCGAGTCGGGGTCCTCCCCCGGGCCGCCCCTCTGGCCTCGCTCCCCAGAGGACAGAAAAAGCGCGGTGGGACAGCCGGGCCGGCTAGCCCCGGCCGCCGCCCTCCTCTGGCCCCCCGCCTCAACGCGGCCGGCGGCCACCCAAGCCCCTAGGAGGGGGAGGGGGGCGCCGGGGGATCCCGCGCGGTCGCACTCACCTTCTGGATGGAGGACTTGCCGCTGCGCCGGAGCCCCATGAGCAGAATCCTCGGCTTGGAGCTGTCAGCGCCCCCAGGGCCACAGCCTCCGCCGGCCCCCGCCCCAACCCCGCCGCCCGCTGCTGCCGCCTCCTCTTCCTCCTCCTCCACGCCGTAGCCGAAGTCCTTCGGAAAGGAATCCGCCGCGCCGTAACTGCCGGCCAGGGGCGTCTCCTCCGCCCCGTACTGCAGGGACATGGTGCTGGAGCCGCCGCCGCCCGCGCCCTGACAGGCCAGGCCAGGCCAAGCCAGGCCGCCGCCTCCCCAGTCCGCCGCCGCCGCCGCCCCCGGCAGCCGCCACCGCCGCGCGGCCCGCCCCCTAGAGCCCAACTCTCATAGGCTCCGCGCCGAGACCCAGACTCTCATTGGCCGCCCGAGCTGCCACTCGGGAGCAGCAAGGTAGGTGGTGCCCGTCACGTGCCCGGAATCACCTGACTTGGAGCCGTGGAGGGGGGAGGAGGAGTCACGAGGAGGGTGGCCCGGCCGGCCGAGCCCTCTGCCCTCCGCCCTACGGAGCACCTCGGTCCTGCCCAGCCACGCGCCTTGCTCCTCGCCGCCTTTCTGCCTCCTTGGGAGCTCTGGAGGCCGTCGCAACGGGAGATGCTCTCTGGGCATTTGCGGAAAGAACTGATTGTGCTCCTACAACGGTACTCGCCCAACCAGTATTTACTGATGCCCGCGATGTCCTGGGGGGGGACAAGGGACACAAAAACTGAAACGGACTCGGACCCTGCCTGCTCTCATGTTGCTTGGAGATTAATAGAGCTCGGATCTCTGCGTAAGTAGCTTCGGTACGAGATATGAAGTGTAAAGGTCAAAGGTACAGGTAAAAATGCTCGGGAGTTGGGAGGGTGACAAAGTCTGTAAGGAAGTGGCGTCTGAGCAGGTCTAGATGGATGGATGTGGTTGGGATATGCCGGGATAGGGAGGAGGAGCCAGCCTGAGTGAAGGTAAAGCCTCAACCAAAGGCAGAGTCAGGGTGTGATACAGTTCGATCTAGCATGTAGCAGGAAAGTAAATGCAGCCAAGCTAGAACAGCTTATCCTCCCTCTTCAGCAAATCAGACGGTGGTTACTACTACCACTTCAAAATCAAAAGGACTCAGTTTCCCCTTTTCCACACCCAGTCTGCTTTGCATGTAACTTATCCTTCCCTGACCCCATAGAACATTACATCTGCTGTGACCTTCAGCTTACAGACCAAAGGAATGAATAATGAAAGAAAACTAAAATGTTTTCACTAGATTGGTTTGAGAAAGCTAGAGGAATTTTCACTCTGGACAATCAGGCTTTAGAATTGGAAATTTGACGAAACAAGAGCCTCGTCTTAAAATGGAGGTGATGGCGGTGGCGCTGATTTTCCAAAGACTTTAACTTCTAGATTATGAAAGGAAAGCATTTTCTTGCCAGGTCTGGGACTTAGTTACATCTGAATATATACTTTGAAGGTAGGACACATCCTCAGAGGTCATCTAGTCCAATCTCTCTCCTAAACAGAGTCCACTCTGTAGCACCCCAGCTGATAGATAATGCAGTGTACACTTCAGTGCTCCAAGGGAAGAGATCTTGCTCACTATTTCAAAAGGCAAGCACATCCACTGAGGTAAAACTTTGTTTGGAAGTCTTCTATTTAGACTAAAAATCACACTCACTGGAGCTTAAAATGGAACAATACAGGAGTAGTCTTCCATCATTTTCATGACAGCCCTTCAAATATTAAGTTGCAGTCTTCGTTACCCACTAAGTCTTCTCTGTTCACGTTAAACATACTCCGTTCCTTTGACCATCCCTTCTATGCTGATGTACAGTGGACCTTTCTGTGATGATGGAAATGTTCTACAACCATACTGTTCAGTAGAGTAGCCACTGTGGATTGAGCATTTGAAATGTTGCTACTGTGAATGAGGAGCTGAATTTTTTAAATTGTAGTTCAGATGTGGCTAGTGGCTACCGTATACAAGCCACAACCTTGTATTTTTAAATGCATTCTCCCTGTTGATCATTCACTTTTTTACATGCATTTGAGCTTCCACCAAATGTCTAGCGCCTACAATTCAATACTAACCAATACAGCCTTAAGGATGACTGTTTGCACCTGGACAATATTTCTATTAATGCTTTCCAGATGGAATTTTTTTTTTTAATATCCAGAGTATATGTGGTTCATAATGATAATCACTGGAACTAGTATTTTGTCAGCAACCGGAGTGCCTAAACTTGTATCACTGCATTTTTTAACCTAAACATAAGACTTGACATTTCAGCTTTTTGGCTTAGGCCCAGAAGTTGGGGTACTCCAAGTTTATCATTTTCAAACTTGTTTCAATATAATTTACCAACCAGCCAACTTTGTGTCATTTATAGATTTGGCATTACACCATGTGACCCATACGTAGTCCTTTACAATTTATAAGGTACTTTTCATCTGTTATATTTAATTTGATCCTTACAACAGCCTTGTGAGGTAGGTAAGATATGAAATCTACATTTTATAGATAACGCAGCTGAATGAAGCGTAGCAGGATCTGAATGGATGACGTCCTTTTTCTACTCCATTGAGCATCTTCTTGTACATTCTCTTCATCCATATCCTTGATAGAAGTGATGAAGAGGATCTCCAGAGGCCAGGCTGACTCTGAATTCTTAAATAGCACTGACTGATACAACAGTTTAAACAGGTCAGTTTCCTCTTAAAAATGTGGTTATCCAACCCACTAGTTGCCCTTTTGTCCAAAAGGATGGTACAGGAGACAGTAACCTGACTTATGTAAACACTAATACTAGTCCCATAGTAGAGAAGCAAATGAGGGTCAGCTGCCAGAAAAAAAATTCTGCTTGTCTGTATTCCACAAAGGGACTGTCATACCAACTGTTTAAAGAAGCCAAGTCTCCCTCTCTTTGAAAATCCCCATGGGGCCACGTTTTATTGTTCTCATGGTTCTTAGCACTTCCTATCCCACATTGTTAATTGCTGATGTACATGTCTTATAACTAACTTCAAGTCATTCATCTCTAACACCCAGCACTCAGCCTACTGCTGAGCATGTAGGAGGCACTCAAACTGGTAAAAGATAAACCGATTCAAGTGAATGTTCTTCCAACAGTATCTGGCCCCCCTCCAAAAACAAACTTGTGACTAGAAGAGACACAGACCATTGCCACATTCTTGCCAACATGACTGATTAAAATGCCCTTAGAATTAGCTCGGTCACAGTTTCCAGCAAGTGCTGAGGCTTTTGCTAGTTAAATCAGCTTTCATTGATGTGTTCGGTTTTCTACGTGTGTTTTGACCAAAGAGTAAAAACAGGTTCTCTAACAATAGGGTTAGAATACATGAAACAGGATGACTCTTAATAATGTCAAGTCAGTCAGTAAGGAATATAAGTCACCAATAAAATGAAAACATCTGACTGTAGGTCTTCCAAAAGAAAGGAAAAGGACTAACAAACAAGAATATAGTGCTTTACCATTTACAGATCTTTCACATACATTCCATTTGACCCTCACAACAACCCTGTGAGGTGGGCAGCGCTGATAGTATTCTTCTCATTTAACAGATGAGGAAAGTGAATCTCAGAGCAGGTAACTGAAGTGCCCAACGTTCTACAGTTAGTAGATAATTTGTATTAATATCAGTCTTTGGCCTAAAAATTCAGCACCCAACCTCGCCTCATACTTGCTGTACCTACTTCACAGGGATAATGAAGATAAAATGAATTCAAGGCTAGAAAAATACTTTGAGGGAAAAAGCACTATATAATTATACCCGCAAACTATAATTTTCCACAATATATGGCTCATTCCCCTTCTCATCCCAGCTTGTGCATGAACCCAGAATTTTATATTGCCTCAGTTCTGTGCTCAGCTGAGCAACTAAGTAAGGCAGGGAAACAGTGTGATCCTGTTTGGAGTTATATAAATTACAATCAGGGTAACTGCTAGTATAGCAAATTGAAAAACAACACAGGCCAATGTGCAGCTAGGACCCACTGAAGCACAGAGCAAAGCAAGGCAACATCATCAGATAGGGCATGATTGCATAGAAGGAAACGTGGTGTCAGAGTTCCAACTGGCACACACACAGTCATCTAAGGCAAAGTGGTGGCAAAGAAGAGTTATTTGTTCCACATTATATAAACACGAGCAGAAGATTCATGGGAACCCATGCAAAAGCATCTTCTGTCACACTGATCTCTCCAGCTGCCTTCAGAGGATATAAACAACAGTGTCATCTTCATTTTAACAAATGACTGTAGCTGTGCTCATATCCTGCACTGAACCAAGGAACAGCTCCATGCTGAACTTCCTTGGCTAAAATACAACCAGTACCATCATTGCTAGTCAGACTAATAAACAGAATGTCTTTTAAGGTAATGAATTAGATGGCTGTGTTTAGATTTTTTTTTTTCCAGGATTCACTTTGGATTCTCCTGCTTTTAAGACCCAAAGAAAGTTATATTGAGTTTTTATTGGTGATTCTAAGTATATGTGTTTATAACAGTTAAAGTGTGATAGGTGAATTCAACATATTAAAAGAGTTCTAGAGCATCTGTTCAGAAAAGGTTATATACTATACAAACTATTCAAGTCATACAAAACCATTTTTTCAGTGTCTTTTCAACTGAGAAGGATCCTATTCAGCACGCTTCTCCTCCTGAGGTGGTTCATACTGAGCAAGCTATAGGGCAAAGACAGAGTAGTTTAGGTGAATTTTATTCTAAATTGGGTAAAAAAAAACTTAATAGTAACAAAATGAGTAGTTAACTATTCAATTACTGAATCAGGAACTTTATATGAATATCCTATCCATTTTTAAACCATTTAAGATTGATACAATTTAAGATTTAATACAATCAAATGTAATGAAAACTCTTTTCATATAAACCTTTAAAATTACTGGGAAACCAATGCTGAATTTCAGTTCATGACTGCACTGCTCAAATACTTAATAATGCAATAATCTGTCTCTTTCTTCCTAAAGATGCTATGGCTTCTGGTAAAGGACTTAACTCTTTCTCTTTAACAAAAGTTTACTGAACTTTCTCTTAAAAAGCAGGAAAAAAGAATAATGTAACATATATTAATCTAGCTAGTCAGTGAAGAGGAGCTCATGTCTTTGACTTAAATGGTGCCAAAGAGTTAGCTGATAATTTGTATTGTGGAATCTTGGATTATTTAAGAGGCTCTATTTTCTGTTATGCTGATTTAGGTTATTCCAATTAGTTGAGAGATTTGAGAAGATAATTAGACTTCACTGTGCTTTAGTTTCCTACCTATAAATCATTCTGTGTACCTGTTTCACTTATCTCGCAAGGTCGTTGAGCAGATAAATCACATTATAATAAATGCCTAGAGTAATGTAAAATGCGTTATGTGATTCAGAATGTGGAAAAACCTCAAAGACTTAGAGTTGACTAATTTGAAGTTTATGAAAAGTCTCACAGGAGTTTCAACAGAGAAAAAACTTGAGCACAGACAAAATTAAGTGCAAACAAATTTATAGAGATAAACACATTACAGCGCCAGCACATACGACTGTGCAGGTTACACACTGCACAACTCTGAGAGGTGCCATTCGCAAAGCATTGACCTTACAATGACCTACTTAAATCAAGTGCTTAGGACTCCCAGAACTCTCCATTTACTCATAAGCAGCATTAACCAATGTTCTCATCCTTTTTTTTTTTTTTTTTTAAAGTAGGCGCCATGCTCTGCGTGGAGCCCAATGCAGAGCTTGAACTTAAGACCCTAACATCCCAAGACCTAGGCCGGCATCAGGAGTTGGCGGCTTAACCAGCTGAGCCACCCAGGCGCCCCCCTCATCTTTTTCTTGATGCAGGTTCCCAAGAAGCTCTTCTTGACCACACATTGCTTGTCCTATTTACAATTTGTGGTTTTCTAGATAGAGCATCAGTTCAGCCTTGTAGTTAATCAAGATTATTTATCCTCCTCCCTTCCCTACTATCCATTTTAGTGAGGTTTTGATCTTTTAATCATTAAGGGTGAAATTATTTTTAACATGAATTCTTTTAAAACATTTACCTTTGTTTTCAGTTTTTTATTTTCTTCTACAATAGCTTCATATTTCTCTTTCATTTCTGCCAGTTCTAGGCGAAGCAGCTCTATTTCTGGATTTTCTGGAGTAGCAGCTCCTAAGTGATGCTTTAAAAAACTAATACCAAAGTTAAGAATTTACTTGAGCTGAATGAAACTAATGAAATAGCTCAGAGCAGTATCAATATCTCTGATCATGGTCACCCCACCTTACCACCACCATTTACCCAGAGATCATCATCGCAAAACATAAAGGAAAGTAACTTTTTCAATCGTGAAAAATATTTTAAATATTTATCTATGTGAAAAAATAAGAGTTCCAAAAATAAGTCCTTTTTCTGACTTGAAAGATGAAAAGGATACTCCAAAGCACTATTAGGTTTCTCTGGTTCTTCATATAAGGCTACCAATACTGCAAATCAAAAAGCAGAAAAAAGCAACAATTAAAGTCTTAAATTTGAATGCCTGAAAATTATATAGCCCAGTAAATGTTAAATGCCTGTTATATGCCAAGCACATTGCTAGGACTGCCATACCATACCATAGGACTGGTAAACAAGGCAGCTAAGGTCCCTGCTCTCAACAACTTTACAGTCTAGTGCAAAAGCAAAGAACTAGACCAAAAAAAACAAAAACAAAAACAAAAATGCATCAAGTGGCAATACAGGATGATGGATTATGGGTGCACTTTGGAAGAACACCTAACTCAGCCTAACGAACCAGGGAAGGCTCCCTAACAAAGGGAAATAAGACCTGAGACTTGGCTATGACGGTTTCAGATAAAATGGGAAGGTGAGGGGGTGGGTAGGGCAAGAGAACAACACATTGAGGAACTGAAAATTCAAGTATGGCTAGATGGAGCCGTGAACAATGTGGCAGGAAAGGAAGCTGGCAAGGTGGTCAGGACGCAGACCAGGGAGGATCCTGCAAGTTTGGTTGGACTTTGATCCTTAGAACAGTCATATAATTAAACAGTTTTAAGCAGGAGAGTGACAGGATCACTCTTAACTACTGTGTGGAAGATCCTGAGTGGGACAAGGATGAAGGCAGGAAGAGCAGTTAAGAGGCAGGTGTGGCAATCCAGCTGAAAAAGATAGCAACCTGCACTAGAGTGAGGGGGGGCGGTGAAAATAAAGTAGATAAATTTGAGAAAAATTTTGGAGAGAATCAACAGGGCTATGGTAATTACTGAAAGAAGCTTTGAATTCAGAATGTGCTTCATATACAACATGCTACATAACCACCAACCAAAGACTTTACCAGTTATCTGCATGCTCAAATCAACATTAAAATAGATGTTTTAGTTTGTATCCAAAAGCTCATGTCAGCACTACCTTGCTCATCTTCTACTGAACAAATTCCTCCGGGAATTTACTACTCAGATAAAAGTCTCTAGACCAGTGGTTAAATTTTTTGTGCATGGAACACTTTGAAAAGTGACAAAAGCCCAAAAATGTAACTACACACAAATAATGTCCATCTCTAGACTCCAAGTTAAAAACTGTTGTAAAACAACTTACACGCTTCCTTTTTTAGTTTTAATAAATCATCAAAATAGTATAGACAGTATGAGAAAATCAAATGGCAATGACTTTTTAACACCCTGCACTGAGTTCTGATAGTTATTCTTCTAAGTATACATACAACCCTATTTTTTGAGAAATTGGTAGGTTTACATCACCACCACCCTCTCTCTTCAATATGTTTTTCTTTAAATAACACACTCAAACCTGTTTCTTCTTCCATTAATTTCCACTGATCTCTGCCAACTAACGTTATAAGACATGAATACTCTTATCCTTTTCTACCTCTTCCCCACCCCATTTCTTTCAGCTTCTAAATTTCTGTCTGTGGTACTATGAGGTTGATAATTACAGAACATAATGTAAATGTCAAGTTTCCTGTGCTTTTCTATAGATGAAATATACTTCCTTTTAATCAGATAAGAACTCAATAGCTGGTGTTTCCCTTTTTGCCTTAGCAGGAGGGATTTTTAGAGGTTGATGTACTCAAAATAACTCAAATGCTTCTTTTTCCATATGACTTAGTTTTATCTTTAGCCGTCCTTTAGTGTGTTAATGTTAGAAGCAGTTTCAGATCCTCTTGGAAATATGCTGTATTAAAATTAAATATGTGTAAAGTAGCCGTGTTTGAAACTGAAAATCAAATTTTAAATAGGTCACATCAGTAGAGACATTATGTTAAATTCTCTATTATTTAGGAGACTGGAAATCTACAGAGATTGAGAAGTTAGATGCCAGTAGATGTGAGCAAGGGAAAAGAAGCCTTCAGGGGTTTCCAATCTCACAAGGGAAGATCCATGAACAGCCACAAGGCGGTTACTTCCCACCAAGGTCATTTATCTGTCTTCTAACATTCTTTTACTCTGTCCAGCCACTCTGGCCTCCTTGCCTTCCTGGAATGCTTGACATCACATTTCATCCAGATCTCTGCTCAAATGTTACTTGAGACCTTCCCCCATCACACCTTATAAATGGCACACCCATTGCTCTTTATCCCCTTTGCAGTGTTTTTATTCATATAATTTCCCACTGGCTGGCACTATGTATTATCTGTCTCCTCCAAATAGAATATAAGGTCATTTAGAGCAGGGGCTTCCACCCACCCCACTGCTGTATCCCCAGTGCCTGGAACAGAGACCTGAATAAAATGATGAAAGTTAATTAACTTATGGAGTTTTTCTTTTTTTTAAGGGGAGGGGTCAATGAAATTCCAGCCTTCTGTGACACTTCAGGAGAGGACAGAGCACAGCACTTTCATAGAATACTCCTATCATGTCTGCTGAAATTTAATTGCAAAGAGATAAGGAAACTGGTACCTGAACCTAAGGTTGGTAGCAATTCAGAATTCTCAGCCCATACATGGGAATTAAAAGTCCTGCTTTCTGTTAAGACCCAGAGTTAATCTCCCAGAATTTTCTCCTAACCTTTGCTTCCGGCCAAAGAGCAGTTACCAAATTAATTCCCACACACTTCTCATGTGGAGCCAGTCATCATTCCTGACAGCTCTTCTGTTCTATACCCTTGAAAGTCCTAGCCAATGAGCTGAATGATACATAGCAGACATTCACATTATTGCTGAGCTAATGAAGTAAGCAGTACCCCAGCTATCTCTTGGAACTCTCCAGTTTGAAGCTCCTTATTCATCTTAGGTCTTGAATCCCCTTGGAGAAAGAGATACAGTGTAACAGCTTCCATCTTAAAAAGTGTAAACAATATAACCATTTTCATGTGCCCTCAAGCTCTTTAAACTGTAATTCTACTTATGAAATGTGCACAGAGCAGGAATTGGTATAGCCTACGAAATGGGGGTTGAAAAACCGCAGCCAAACTGACTATGAATCGCCTACTTGGGGGATTGAGTTCACTCAGTTACTTTATAAGCAACTTTGAAATCAGGTAATTTTCCCACTGGCCCTTTGTTCGAGGGGAAAATGCTTCTTTACATAATTTTGACTCCGCAAAAACTGTAAAGAGAGAGGAATTGGGATCTCAAGGTCTTTAGCAAACGTGCTCGCTGCGACCGCTCGAGGCAAAGCAACGGAAGTCGGAGGGACTTTGCAACAGCTGCAAGAGTTTCACTCCCCGCCCGGAGAGCGGTAGTGTGAGCGAGGCACCCCCAACTCCGGCGCCGTCCGACAGCCAGACGTGCGCCAATGCCTGCTGAACCCCGAGGCCCACCTAGCTGGACCCCAGACAGATCCCACCTGTTCCCCTTCCTTCCCTACGCCTTGGCCCGTCGGGGGCTCAGCGCCAAGGAGCACGGCGTGGACACGAAGAACCCTCTCCTAGCCCATGCTCACCCTTGGTCAGCGTGTCCAGCACCCCCGACTTCTCCAAGTACCTCCGGAACTGCTCGCGCTTCGAGTCGGCGGCCTGAGGAGACACGGCGGGTCAGTGGCCAAAGCCCAGGGGCCGGAGCAGGAAGAAGGCGCTGGGAGTCCGGCAACCCCGCCTCCGCCTCGCTACCTCAGGCCCCCAAAACCTGCGCGCGCGCCCCCATTCCCACCCTCAGCCGACCAGCGGCTGGCTACCGCCCGCACGCCCCCAGCCACGCCGCGCCCCCCTCACTTTGTAATGGGCCATAGTGACAGCGGCAGCGGCGTAGCTGGCGCCCGAGACCGTGGCTGGCGGGCTCTGAGCCGCACTGCTCATGCGCGGAAGGGCGCGCGCGCCTGCGTACTTGCAAACCACGGTCCGAGATCGCAGGGGTGTGGCCTGTTTTCATGACGACCAGGACGCTGTGAGTGTCCCATAGTGGGCTAAGCTGAGGGAGGCTGCGTACGCCCGCCTCTCTGCTCCCAGAGCAGCACCTCTCCTTCCTCTTCCGGTCCTTGCTGCGATTCGGTTGCTTAGCGAGAGGCGAGGTTTTGGTAACTCCGGACTGGTGTCCAGGTGGGGCCAAAGATGGGCGTGGCGCCCGGGGGTGGGGCTTGCGGAGGCTGGTAGAGCTGGGACTGGAACCGGGTGGGATCTTCGGACACCCGTCTGGAGCAGACCTGTCTCAAGTGGGACCTCATTAGGTGTGGCAATCTATACGTGCTGGTTTCTTGGCTCTCATCCTGAAAAGGTGCGCACGACCGACGCCGGGCAACTCTTGGGTATGCAGTGTCTGGAAAGGAGTGCTTAGACCCGTGTGTTTCTGCTCCCGCTCTTACTTTTGGAGTTCGTTTTGTGGCGGGCTTGATAGGGGCCTCTGGAGGATGAGAGGTAACGTACTAAGCTTTTGAGCGCTTAATGTGTGCCAGGCACTGTACTAAACACGTTTCTTATTTTAATTCTCATGCTATCCTTGTAAGGTGGGAGGTGTTAGTAAAGTGGCGAAGTTAGAGGACCAGGGAGTGTAGAGCTACGACTCCAGTCTGGGTACTGAATCAAGATGCTATAAAGCCATCAATCTTTTTAAAATTTTATTTACTAGATAGCAATATTATCACTGTACTCAGGAGACATCAGGTTGCAGTCAATAAAGAAACTAAATTAAGTCCCAGGGACAAACAATTGAACCATTGTCCAGAAATAAAAGATTAGCAAGTAGAAAGAAGAATTATGCAGAACAAGGAGTCTCCTAAAGCTGTACTCCCTTCAGGGAAAAAGCTGTTTCCAAACCATTAAGCCTCGATTCTGAACATGTGACTTTCCCAGAATCAGTTTTCATGAATTCTAAAGGAAGCCTCTGAAAAAGTAATCCTGATTTGGTAACTATGTCTTTGAGTTTAAAACTGCCCCTTCACCATTCAGAATTAATCTCTATTTCCTTTTTGAATTGGGTTTGCAGTGTCTGCCTTAACACTGGGTCTTTAGGGCTACCCGTGTCTTGCCAGCGCTCCACCACCACTAGGGTACTTCTGTGATAGCTTAATATGCAGAATGTCTAGAAGCCAACAGCTGTTCAGATCTGAAGGTCTGTGGGAGCCCGCCTACCAATGAGGTTGTTTGTCAGCAACCCCAAATGATTTGGAGGACAAGCAGTAGGATTATTGCAGCTTCTGACCAAATCAGATTCAAAGGACAACTGTCCCAAAGAAGCAGGAGTATCTGGAATGTCAAGTGACAGGCAGTCTCCCTGGGAAGGAGGAAGGGTGCTAATTGTGCCCTCTCTGAACTGGCCCTTCAGGTTTCCTTTAGGAGGTGACACCTGATTTTCATCTTCCTTAGAGGGACCCCATGTAGCACTAGGCCACAACTGTTCCCAGGCACAGGTAGCAGGTAGAGGGAAAGCCGTTTGGGATGACTGCCCCATGTGGTTGTCCAGATCTATAGCAACACCTGGAATAGAACAGTGACCTCTAGAGCAGTGGTTCCTTTTGCTGTCTTTGCAGTCAATGTCTCTCTTTTCCCTTAATGGGTTACCCAATTCTTTTCTAAATATTTTATGAGTGTCTTCATTATTACATGAGCTGATGTGTTGAAGATGACTACAGGTAGCGCTAAGTGTGTGCATCTCATCAGAAAGTACAATTTCTTGTTTATCCAAAACACATTTCTCATCATTTCCGCTGTGATTGTCAGGATCCACCTGAAATGCAGGTGAATTTAAACTAGGGCACACTGCTGTGTGTTTTTGCTTTTCCATTAACAGGTAATAATCAGGTGCAGAAGAGAGTCTCTTCAGTGAATTTGCAGATGTGCTCTGATACTTGGCAAGATTTTGTTTTGACTTGTTCGCAAAGAATTCATTATGCTCATCCTTCCATTTATATTGTCCCCAAAGCCCTCTTTTAATCTTTTTAAAACCTAGGTGGAAAATTTCTAGAACATTTAAGAGAAGCGAAACAGTGGCTATGGATTGCATAAATAGTAGGAATATTGTCTTTTCTGTTGGTCTTGAGACAAAACAATCAATTATATTTGGACACGGGTGGCCATGGCATTTAAATAAAGGCTCTAAATGAAATCCATATAAAAGATACTGTCCAATCATGAACCCAACCTCAACCACGGAGCGAGTGAAAATGTGTATCACGTAAGTGCAAAGCAGTGTTCCTCTGAGTGGAGCTTTATTTAGTTTTCTTTGTTCCAGCTGACAAAGTTCTTGCTCCAGTCTCCTTCGGTCCCCAGGCATTTCAAACTCCACCCCCTCCAGTGCTCCTCTCAGCTGAGCTTTCTTCCTCTGCCTCTCTTTCTCCAGAACCCTCAGTCGGTATAAAGCATGGCCCATATAGACCAGGGACGGTGAAGACACAAATATCACTTGCAAAACCCAGTATCTAACAAGGGAGATAGGAAAGGCCTGGTCATAGCACACATTTCTGCAGCCGGGTTGTTCTGTATTACAGATGAAGCCAGACTGCTCGTCATTCCAGACATCCTCAGCTGCTACACCCAGAATAAGCATTCGAAATATGAACAGGATAGAGAGCCAGATCTTTCCAATTATGGTGGAGTGGATGTGAACTTCCTCCAGGATGCCTCCAAGGAAATTCCAGTTCCCCATGTTTATTTAGTCAGCCATCTTCACTCTGAACCCCATCAAATAGGAGACAGATAAATTCTTCCATTCTGAAGGACATGCTATTTCCTAAAGCAAACCTATGGCGAAAACATGAACAAAGCATCACTCTCTTCGTGTGCGGGTTACTCTCCTCTTTCCCTAGAGAACTGTGATAATCTTACCAAGAATTTTTTAAGCTATCAGGAATTTAAAATCACTTATGTTTAGACATTATAATGCAATGAAGAAAAAAAAAGATAGTTGGAGGAGGGGTTGTATATATTCTCTATGAAGAATAGAACTGTAGATGGGGTGCTTGGCTGGCTCAGTCAGAAGAGCATGTGACTCTTGAACTGGGGGTTGTGAGTTCGAGCCCCATGTTGGGTGTAGAGATAACTTAAAATAAGTAAATAAAAATTAAAAAAAATAATAACTCTAGGATTCCCTATAAGAAAAGAGTCTTGTTATTGTTAGTTGAAGTTTATTACTGTTTTACTTTGTTTAACTGAGAACTTTCGGGGAGGTTCCTAAAACTACTGACATGATCTTACAAACCTCTCTGTTAAGATTATATAAAAATTGGGACGCCTGGGTGGCTCAGTTGGTTAAGCTGCTGCCTTCAGCTCAGATCATGATCCTGGGGTCCTGGGATCGAGTCCTGCATCGGGCTCCTGGCTCGTCGGCAGGGAGCCTGCTTTCTCCTCTCTCTGCCTGCCTCTCTGCCTGCTTGTGTGTACTCTCTCTCTCTGACAAATAAATAAAATCTTTAAAAAAAATTATAACCAAAATCAGTGATTTTAAAATCTCATTTATACACAAAGGAAAATGAATGTGTTTCATTTGCTAATTCAGTAGGATATAGCACTTAATGAAAATCAGAGGAAACAGATCTGGCTCTTGCTATCAGAATTTAGATTTGTTTTTTAATCCATGTTTAAATGTCTAAATTCTCTTGGCTTTCTGACAGTTGTTGAGCACTTTCAGAAATCAGAAATTTCAGTAATATTTATGAATATTCATAAAATTCTTAATTAGCTATGAAAAATTGTGTACATTTTTATCATCTTAAAATGAACTCCAGTTAACTAAGTAAAACTTAAATTAAAAAAACAGAACTTCAAGATAAATACAAATAAAAAAAGAACTCCAGAAATTCTCAACTATTTTTGTCCTAGCAGAATGTTTTTAGATAGTTCTTGAAATAAACAGATGGCTGTGGTGGTGGTGGTATTGTAGATATTTTCATTGTAACAATATTTGACCTACTTAGGACACATAGCTTGCTTTTATGGAAGGAACAGTGTAATAACAGAGCAAGTTATACTTTAGATGCTTGGATTATCAAGCAGTACATTCCATATTAAGGTAGAGATTCTAGTGTATCTAAGAGGAAATATATCCTACAGGAAAGATAAAAAGATGAGTGTTTTCATAACTCTCATTTAAAATATCAATGTGTGTTCTATATCCCTTATATAAAGGGAAATGTTACACAGTTAAATACAATACTGGGATACTGTAGCTAAACAATATGTTCATCACAAAAACCTTATGAGGTAGGAATATTGTTTCCCCAGTTTACAGATGAGGAGACTGAGGCACACCTAAATTATCCAAGGTTGGGGCAGCTGGGTGGCTCAGTTGGCTAAACATCCAACTTTCAATATTGGTTCAGGTCATGATCTCAGGGTTGTGGGTTCAAGCCTCACATCCAGCTCTACACTGAGCACAGCATCTGCCTGGGACTCTCTCTTCCTCTCCCTTTACCCTCCCCCAACCAAATGAATAAAATCTTTAAATTACCTAAGGTCACACAGCTGGAACTGGCATTGAAAATCAGTGTAGCTCTAAAGTCAGGTCCTGTTCTGTTTTTCCTCTTTGGGTGCACTTAAGATTTGCATGAAAGAAACATTAAGAAATCATCTGTTTTCTCTTAAAAGTTTACTTAAATTAGGTATGTCAAATAGCGATAGTTTGGACTTCTTAACTGATTTTAAAGTCTTTAGTTCCTTTTCTAAAGCTTCATTCAGTTGAAAAGATTTACAAAAGCATCAACCTTCTAAAATTAGTTGTACTTCTGAGATAGAGAAAATTTCTATTTAACTTTATTATGAATAATAACATATTCTTTGATCCAACAATCCAAAACACTTTAAAGCGTAAGCAATGGTATCATTCGTGTTGTTTTTAATAGTTGCAAATTGAATATGTCCAAAGTAATTATCATTACAAGAAAGGCAATGTT